GTACCATTTCTTAAGAAATTTAATAATTAAGATTAAATTTTTAACATGTTTGATGTAACAGACTCATTAATTAACATGTATAACATTATTGCACTTTATTGTGTTCGAAGTAGGGTTTGTGTCCCGGGACGTCTTGTGTCTCAAAGTCCCGGGACTTTTTCTAAATTTAATTGTCTCAGGTGCCAGGACATTCGGGTCAAGACTCAAGACACGCTTATCGAAATTGTATTTTCAAATGGTTAGCCGAGTGACACTTCTTTTGTTCTCCCTCCTGTTTACAAATAAACAACGCAGGTGGGAGTAATTTACAAGGCCGTGTGACTTTTAACCTTACTCTGTTAAATGTTTGTTAAAATATTTGCACACTGGCCACCACAGCTCACAGTCGCAAAACACAGATTTTTTTAGTTCGAATTTGAATAAAACTGCACTTATTGCTTTCGCGGAAGATCTGCATTACAGACTTTTTGAAAATATCCCTCGTATCCAAAAGCCAGATTTGGAAATAATGGATGCTGAACCCAGTACCAGTAGCTCTACAGTACACAACGAACCCGATGAGTCGTTTCAAAGTCAAATGGAACAGGCAATCAAAAAAATTGAAGAAAATGTACCTGAAATTTCTGCAAAAAGATCAAGAGCAGCATTAAAAAAGGAGTTCCAATTATTTGAAGAAACCGGAAAACGTACTGAAAGTTTGGAACTACTTTATAAAGCTTTAACGACAATAAAACTGACATCTGTTGAAAACGAGTGTGTGTTCTCCTTGTCCGGAGGCATTATTACAAAAATCAGAAACAGATTGTCAGACAAACTGTAAATGCTCTGATGTTTTTAAATGTATATTTTATTAAATCAGAAAAGATGTCTAATTGCTAGTTCATTATATTATTTATATGACTAATGAATAGAAACTAGGTGATGATTATTAATGATTAGTATGATTACAAAGTTGGTTTTATAATTTTAAGATTTTACAGCCAGAAAATGAATCTATGATTATAAGAATTAAACATACAAACTGTTTAGACTTTAATTAACATTATAAATGTTAGGATTTGATTTTATGTTCAATAAATGTTGATTTTTTTACTAAAATTGCCTTTTTATTAACACATCTCGCCAAAAATGAACTCAATTCTAATTTTATTCCAAGAAGTCTCAAAGTCCCAGGACGTCCCGGGATTTTGATTGTGGGTTGTCTCATGTCCCGGGACTTTGAGAATGTCGAGACTTCCCAAACCCTTGTGCAAAGCAGCAAAAATGTATAACATATTAATTAAAATGCAACTCAAACACCAACTATATAGTGTATTCACTCGGACACAAGGCAAAACTTGTGTACAAACATTGAATACACATATCAACTAAATAAAATTTAATGATGAGCTTTGCCTTGTGTCTGAGTGAATACACTATATAGTTGGTGTTCGAGCTACAAAACAATTACTAGCATGGTTTCATAAGTACTAAATATTAATTAGACTTATGCATCAAGTGCACGAGTGTGTACACTGTCCTATTGAATATAAATGCTATGTTTACTGTTAGTACTTATGAAACATCATTGTAATTTTTCAACATTGCATAAACAATTCATTTTATTTTGTGTTTTGTTTAAGTTAATAAATAAGTTTAAGTTTTTATAAATTTATATTATTAATGACATTAATGTAAATCATTTTTATGCTAAACATATATGAAAAAATTAATTAAGCATGTCTATATATCTGCAGTTATAAATGTTATAAATCTATTGAGTTGTTCGGAAAGTAATTTCGTTTTTTTCTGTGGAAAAAAACACAATATTTTATAATAAATAAATATTTTGTTGAATTATATATCGACCATTTTGGTCAAATACCTGTTGTCATTGTTTCTGGAAGTAGCATGATTTCACATTCATAAAAATTTTGATCATTGCTTACAAAAAACTGATCCAAGTGATTTTTGACACTGTCATTTCAAGTAAATGTCTTACAGTTAAAAAAAAATTTGTATAGACTGGAACAAGTAATAATCTGAGTGTGCTTGATCTGGCGAATATGGATGGTGTGATAGCACATCTCATCTAAGTTATAACAGTTTCTGACGAGTTACCAAACTTGTGTGAAATTTGACATTATCGTGGTAAAACACTACACATGTTTTGTTGATCAATTCTGACCACCTTTTCTGTTTGATGATATTACTCAATTTGTTTACTCGATGGCAGTACACTTTCGAATCAATTGTTAAATTGTCTGGTAAAAGCTCCAAAAAAAATTTCCTTAAAATCCCACCAAAGAGAGCATATCTCTCTTTAAGAACATGTAGAACCGATATATCAAGCTTTGAAATGAAACCAATTTGTTTCAAGTTATCATAAACAGTTCAATTTGACAAATTTAATCTCTTAGTAATTTCACGTGTTGTTATTCGACAGTTTGCTTCAATCAGTACCTTTATTTTGTTTTCATTGGTTTCAACTGGCCATCCAGAACATGGTGCATCTTCAATGTTGAAATTGCCAGAGCAAAATTTTGTAAACCAGTTTTGGCACTGTCTTTCTCTCAACACATGTTCTCCATACACGTCACACAATGTTTTTCTTGCTTGAACAGCATTCTTACCTTTTCGGTAATAAAAGAGCAAAATATGCTGAAAATGCTGCTTTCGATCTTCCATATTTGATGAGACACAAAAAATAAACAATTGCACAAAATCAAACAAAATTTTTTACAAATAAGCCTTAAAATGCTAGCTGTCAAAATATATAATGATAATATGGTTTAGAATGAAAATGGCAGGAAAAATACGACTAATCCGTCTAGTGGTAAAAAAAAGAAACAAAATTACTGTCTGAACAACCCAATATATTATGCATTGTACACTTTGACATATATCTAGAGGATCTGATCCCGGGATCTCGAAAATCGGGATCCCGGGATCCCGACCACTTTTCAGTCCCAAAATTTTCGGGATTAAGTTTTCCTAATCCCAGGATTTTCGGGATTGACATCATTTTAAAAAAATTGCAAAATAGACTGCATGAAGCGAAACGTTCAGTGCCAGTGCTTTTAACAGAATTGCTTGCCTATCATTTTAATATAAAATACAAGAAATTTTATTCCAAGCAAGCAGCAGAAATTAACCAAGCGGGCTTGCGATGCTTGCTTGGAATAAAACTTCTTGTATTTTCAACTAAAATGATAGGCAAGCAGTTCTCACTGGGTTACTTGGTAATATACTTCATTTTTGTATTTTTGAATTTTCGCGGGCGCCAATTGATTTTCTGGCGCAGTCAAGAGCACTACTCAGTGCGTTTTACCTGTCAATGTGTCAGCCATCTTGTTTTGCCAGTGTGGTTAATATAGACCTGACGCTACTCGCTTGGGGGGGGTCGACCTTAGGTGAAAAGGTTATGACCCTCGCCTTGTCCGCGATCTGTCAGGATGATGCGAGAAAGTCTTTTTACGTTTCGGGGTAGTGGTTTGCTGAATGCTGAGAGACTCACACAGAGACCGAATTTACAAAATTAACGCGTTTATTTTTTGAAAAACATGCTTACAATGATCGAAACAATCGGGATTATAGCCTTTACTCCTACAATCCCGATCCGTGTCGACCGGACTGTTTTCTTCCATCCTCCCCGTGTCCTCGAAGCTTATAAGTATTTACTAACGATTCCTCCAATTTCCATCAACCTAAACGCGTTTTCTCTGCAGCTGCATATATGTGCAACAAATTGAGAAGCAGACTTGGTGATGAGACACTAGATGCGTTGTTATTTCTCAGATCATATTTTCGCAATTCAAATTAGAATGTTCCTATTAAATTAGTTTTCTTTATATTTAAGAAAAATGTGACTGATTAATATTATTTTTAAATACTTTTTCCTAAGAAATTTACTTTACTACCTACTTACTAGGTTGTTATATGAAAGTAGTCTATTTAGTCGATGTTAAGAGAGATTTTTGTGAATTTTCAAGGTTTATTTGCATAGTTTGTTACATAAAAGTTTTTTCAATTTATGTGAGTTTAAAGAGATCTCAGTGATGCTTAAAAAAGAATAAATTTAACATGAAGACAGTGATTTTAAGTCTGGTTAGTCTGACTGTAAGTCTGATTAATTAGAGTGATTAAATTAACTAGGTGTATACCGTAAAATACATTGATTTTTGTCTAAATTTTGATTTTTAATTTCTGTAAGATTTTCTTATTTTTTATTAACCCTCAATACCGAAATAATCCCGGGATCGAATAAGTATAATCCCGAAATCCCGGGATTAGAAATAAGGACCGGGATCGAATTCCCTACATATATCTTATCTCAAGATTGAAAAATATAATTAGAATTGAATGCATCATAATAAAAATCTATTAAAGAAATTGCAGCAAATGTGTTAATTTTATAAACATTTAGTAGGGGGGAAGTCTACTCAGAATGGAATTCAGACCACAGATACTATGACTCAAGCAAGTGTATTATCAAGTTGTCATATGAGATAATCTCCACTTCTAGATATAAAAAGTAAACTCTGGAAAAAATGATATCATTAAGACTTAGTTAATATCACACTCAAATTTTCTGTTTATTTCAATAAAAATTAAAATAATGAGTACCTTCAATAATAAATGATGTCAAAAATAAATAAAAATAAAATAAGAAACTCCTTTTTAACTATTATTTGTCTTTAGATTAGAAAGCAGCAAAGATAGTTATCATAGCCAGAATATTTATATTTTAAAATTTTTTAGCTGGGATTAACTATTGCATATCTTTCTTCACTAAACCTTCCATTTTTGAGAAAATTTTACATTTTGTTTAAAATTTTTTGAATTATTATTCATTCCAAAACTATAAATTTTCTATTTATTAATTTGGTTGCTCTTTTTTTTTTTGAATGGATATAAAAAAATCACTTATAAGACATGTTAAATTAAAACAGATGATATATCAATATCTTATATAATAAAAATGAATATCAATAGTCTTGAAATTCAATAAATAAACATACCTAGAGAGTTCAAAGTGGAAAGAGTTTTCTTTACATTCTTATTCAACCAATCATTCGATGATTTATGAAATTATCTTTTGAAGTAAAATACATTGATAATAAATATTCATCAATTCAAGTACACACAGTGTTTTCAGTTTCTAGAAGAAAAAATATCATTTATTTTTTATCATTTTCAAAGCATATAAATCAAATATTGAAAACAAAAACATTTTCATATCAGTGAAATCTACATTCTGTATATAAATACATCTAATTCTGTTTTTACATGGTAGATATGTTCCTGAAAAATCTGTGAAAAATAATATACTCTGTATGTGGAAAAATGGAAGAGTGGTTCTAGACCTTAAAAAGCAGCAAAAATAATAAAATAAACTGAATAATATAATAGGTGTTTAAACAAAATATTTCAATTATAGTTAATAAATCAGAGGAGGAATAAATAATCTCTTCTAAACACACTGTAAAATAAACGACTTACTTCTGCTGTAAACCAAAACAGTGCTTATTTCCAAATATTTTCGAACTTAGTTCTTCTTCAGGTGAATAAATCGGGTAGAATCGATGTTATTCGAAAATCTGAATGTAATGTTCTAAGGAAACTCGTGCAATCATCGTATTAAACTTGCGCATGCTCTGTAGATAGAAGGATCATTTTTGGCTTCTCAAGTGTCGTAAATAAGAGTTTGCCATGCTATCGATAATGATAGTTCATCCTTATTGTTTATACACTTGTCTTCTCTTGCTGTTTTATAGATATATATCGCTTCCATCCATCGCAAATGGTGTATTAGCTGTGTGGTGTAAATTATTTTTGCCTCGTCAAATACAGCTTGTATGTTAGGGTCCGTGGCATATTGCGCTAATGCTGTAGTATATCTTTTATGTAGGATGTCTGCTTTGTGTTCTTTGATCCTCACCTCCAACGATCTTTTTGTGGATCCCACGTATACTAAGTCTTTATCACATCTATGATCTTTTATAGGGATCCTGTATACACCTGCTAATTTGTTTTGGTGCGGAATGTCTTTTCATTATTTAGCATTCTAAATATAGTGGGACATCTTCTAAATATTAAGGAGGAATAATTTTAGCTTCATTCAGGCAAACTTGTATATTAGGTTCCATAGCTTATGACTGTGCTCCACAACTTTTTCTAACCCATGGCACACCTAGAAACTTCACAGAATTCTGTGGCATACTACAAGTAAAAATACAAGGTAGTTTCAAAAAGTTTGCCAAAAATGTATGTAATTCCAAAATGCAGCATTAGAAGGTGCTGGTATTGAATTTTTTACATTCATGATTGTGTTATGACATGTACAAGAGTCAAGTACATGAAAGAGTGAAAGATAAATTTCAAATTCACATCTATAACTAAAATGTCCATCATCAAACAAAGAGCAACATCAAATTCTGTGTCCTATTGAAGAAGATACCATAAGAAACTCTGACGATCTTATCTGCAGTCTACAGTAAAAACAGCAACGAAGAAAACTGCTGTGTACAAATGACACAAGCTGTTTGTCAATGGAAGACAGTCTGTGAAAGATGACGAAAGAACGGGTCATCCATCCATCTCATGCAATGACATAACGATTGGGCAGGTTCAGGAGACTGTGCACAAAGACAGGCGTCAATCAGAAGCCACCATCGCAGAAAAGTGTGAAATTTCTGTGGGAAGCTGTCACACCATTCTTACCAAAGATCTGTAAAAGCACAGAGTCTGAAAGTACATTGTTCCAAAACAGTTAACAGAAGACCACTGTCAATTGGGTATGGAAATTTGCAGCAATTTCATTGACACTGTTGATGAAGACCTAGATGTGTTGAACAGGATAATCACTGGTGCCCAAACATGGTGTTTCCTGTATGACCTCTAGATTAAACATCAGTCATAGGGTTGAAAACATGTTGTGTCCAGTGTTGGGCATTAGTTGACTAAATTTTCAATCATGATAAAAATTGACTGACTAAATTAGTCATGGTTAATTTAGTTGTTAATCATCAATCATATTTTAATATTAGTCTCTGAATTGAATTGTGTATTAGTCTAATAATTTTTCAATCATGACTAATAATGAATGATGATGACTAATAGCCTCTCAACAAACAACAAACCCAAAGCTGTGATTTACTTTATTGGGTTGCAATTTTCAAATTGCTAGACCTATACATTCCCATTATGTCTATCTGTTTGTCCATCCGTCCATCTATCTCCCATTATGTCTATCTGTTTGTCCATCCGTCCATCTATCTGTCCGTTTGCCTGTTTGTCTATCCAGGATGAGAGTGTCGCATAGACCTTCAATACATTGGGGATATACTTTAAGATCTTTGGATTCTAGACTGAAGGAGCATAAATATAACATTCAGAAGTCTGAACCAGTGACAGCCATCGCTGCCTATGCTCTTCTGATTTGGTTAATGTTTGCTGGCAACATGCTAAAATTATCAAAAGTATTAGAAACAAACATCACATACTTTATGTGGAGATTCTATACTATACTGTGCAACAGGTTGTTCCATCAATCATAAGAATATCAATGCACTATCTGTGGCATGGAGAACCTGCTTTGAAGCCTGGCATAACCAAAAGTGACTTCTCCATACATCTATGGGATGCTCACCTTATATATTTATCTATTTTTGTATATATTTGACATTTTATTTATATTGTATTAATTTTTATTTATGTTGTTTATTTTTAATTTATTCATGTATTTAATTTTATTTTTATTTACATCAAAAATGGTGGAATATCGGCACCATAGTACTGTAACAACAACTCCTATCTATAAACCTTCTATAAACCTTTTAAAGGTTTATAGAAGGTTTATAGATAGAAGTTGTTGTTACAGTACTATGGTGCCGATATTCCACCATTTTTGATTCCACCACTATCTATAAACCTTTAAAAGGTTTATAGATAGTTGTTGTTTATTTACATCATTTACTTTTTCATCATTTATCTATGTATTTATTTGTAATTTTAATTTTTAATTTCAGCCAACTGGCATATCATGTTCAGAAAATTATCCATTATTTTCTACTTTTACTAAGTTCAAATTTGTATTCTCTCGATAATGGTCTTTCAAAATGATTGAGATGTTTGTAATTAAATTGATTTTGCTGTTTTTAAAGGTTTTACAAGTGTTTGAATTTCCACATTCACAGTTTTCTAGTTTATGCTAGTTATTATGATGTTTCAATCATGTCATTGCTCAACATGTACATTCAATAAGGGATTCCAAATTTTGTACATCATAACTTCAATGTATAAACATTAAACTTAGCTCAATATCTTGAAATTTATAGAAAATTAAACATAAATAAAAAGTTTTGACAATGGATTTCAGTGAGACAAGACCATAATATCTACAGGAAAAAAAAATATTTCAAAGAAACGAAGGAAAATAGTTTATTTAAAAGTAAAAAAACACAAAATGAAATTTCATATTCTTTCATTGCATATTGGTTAATAAAAAACACATAACTCAGAAACCTATCCCTCCATTCCCTATGTAAATGTTAGTCTTGATTTACATGATTTTGATTTCACATGGAACTAAGTTCACAACATATTTGATATGAAAAAGCTTTGATTAAATGTCTTGCAAATGTAACCATACTACATAAGGAGATAACTGGTTTGTCATTCCCAAAACATCATTTAATAACCAGCTGGAGCATGTGGATTCAAGTAGCTGGTTTTTATGCCAAAAATTTCTCATCCATGGGAGCATTCATTGATAAAGTGGGCAGAAAGTCTTTAGCAGCTTAATGAAACTAGCCTTTAAGAGCCAGTTGAAACAATAAGCCACATTAAAGATTATAAATTAGTCTTATTATAGCCAGATAAAAATCCAGCAGATTGTTTGATTACTAATGTATTAGGTTATGTGTTATTACTGCACAACTATGCTAGAACAAATAACACTACTCCCCAGCAAAGATACAACATAAATGAAACAAAGAAAATGGAAACTAGAACCTAAAATCATCTAATCTTAGCATTTGAGAATTTAAAACTTATCGCTCTTATAATTAGAATATTTTGTATTTATAAATAGAAGAGATAAAACAGCTTGTATTGAATTACACCTAAACAAAGCCATACTAATTCAGATAATTTTCTAATCAATATGAAAAATGCAATTATTATTCTATTTATTTAATTATGAAAATGATTGGGGAAAAGACAATTTCTTTTTCAGCAACAGTTGTGTGCAGCATTTTACATTTTAAAATCAATACAATTCAAAATGACAGTGAAAAGGACACCAACAACTTTACTTTAAATATCATTAAACTATTAAAGCAAAAAATACATTAAGTTTGTTTCTCTAACAGCTGTGACTATTTTAAAAATAATGCTTTAACTTCTATGCTTTACAAATTTTTATATAACAACAAAATGGTTAATTTTTAATAAATCAATGTGCTTTTAGTGTATATTTTAATATTGGGAGTTAAAAAAAACAAGCAGTTAGCATTTATACAGTAGACAGTATACACCAGTGATGATAAGCCTTTCTCCAAAGATAAGTCAAATTGAATTCAAAATTTATTAACTTCAAATCAGAAATCAAATATTTAATTTGAGCAATTAAAAATAAAAAATTAATGCTTACAAATTTTAATTTATTAAACTTTTTAATCTATTTCACAAAAATAACAATAAACTCTACATAAATGTAAAGAAACAATATAATTATAACAGAAACAAATATTTTGTTTAATAGAAAATCTCGTTATTTATTTAATGATAATTTTTTTTATTGAGGTTCACAATTTAAGACTTTAAATTGTGAACCTTTAATAGCAATCTTTAAGACTTTGCTCTCACATTATATTTGCAAAATTTTGAAATCTATCAAATTTACAAAAAAAATTTTTAATTATTATTTTTTATAATTTATAAAAATCTAATACTTTCTAAAAATTCAATGTAGATATCACATATTTGTTAACTGCAACTATTTTGGCAGATTTTTCTTTATGCCACAAAAGTGACAAAAAGAAAAATCTGCCAAAAAGGGAAAGAGAGGATAATGGTCTGCAATATTCACTTTCTGAAAATGATTGTTAAATATTAATTTAAAATGTTTTAAAAGTACTGAAATGTGTTAGTGTGTCA